TTTTCCTATTATTAAGAAATCCTATGAAAAGAGCGAAAGCAACAATGTGCTAATCCAACTTTTAGTACTTTGAGAGTGTGGCCCTCAGCCTAAAGCCCTTTGTTCCCACATAAATCTTAAAAGATGGCTCGTAAAAGTATGGTTTCATTTTTTTTTAAGTTAAGCAATTTCTTAAAACATCTGTGTACAGCTTCAAAACATTACTGTGTGTTTCAGAGCCCCAATTTCATTCATCATAATCCAGATTTTCCCCTGAACTTCACCTTTTGTCTTAATTTGCTATCCCCAACTATTCAGAATTTACTATAACTACAACCTTCCTGTAACTTTCACTACACCATGGGCAGATGTTGCAAAAAGCACTTGTGAAATTGTTTTCACCCCAGTCTGTTTGTTTGTTGGTTTTTACATTGTTTTTAAGCAATTATTAATGGCTTTCCCTGAAACATTGTGAAAGGGAGCAGAATGGGTCAAGTAAGAACCCGTCACATTTTGGTGCGGATCCAGGAATTCCTCTATCACTGTCTTTAACATTGCAAGATGGGTCATTTTTGAGCATTTTCCCCATTTTGCCAGAGAATAATTAATGTACTATGTTGGACTCTATTAGTGTGTGAAATGTGGAGTATTGGTTGGACAACCGAAGACATTTAAAGACATGACTTCTTTCAGAAGTATTAATTGGCATTTTAAATTATTTTCGACATCTAATTGATTTGTCAAGAAAATCCTTGTCAGATTAATCGATGATGGAAATAGCTGCAGCAGAAAGCAAGAATTGACAAGTGTTGACATTAAATATAATGCAGAGCTGGCAGAAAATTGTGCAATGTTGGCTGCTCTTGTCTGTTGATGTGGTTGGAAGGGACACATCACTGCAGCTGAATGTGGCAGCTTTTGGAAACAGTGTCGCTAAACCTCAGGCTCAACTTGTTATTCAGTCGCTTCATTGGTTTTGGACTTTTCATGGAGTTTGTTAACTATTTTTTTAAATGTTGAGTATTGCAGGCCTTTGTCTTTTACTCTTTTGTGCAAAAACACAACTTGGAAAATGCCAAACTGACCATTGTCAGATCTCAGATGAGAAGTTTGTCTGCTGATGGAAATTTATTTTATAATTAGCACAAAGATGCAACTCCAACTGCACTGAGCTTCCTGCTTGATGTCCCGCCAAACAGCACTGAAATGTCTGGCATTTTCCTAGGAGCCATTTCAAACACACATTTGCTAATATCAATATTTTTTTTTTTTTTTACCCACCAGATTTTCTTTATTTGGGATGGATATAACAATTCTGTGTACTCCTCAAAAAATTGGGTCCAAGACTCATGGAACAGAGATTTCAAATTCTCTGTAGTGAGCCAGTGTTCTAATTTCCCATCAGGCTAGAGAATAGACCGTGCATGGCGACGAGGAGGTGTTCTGTTTCAGGTCTTTCATGCCAGCACAGGACTAACTGGACACATGAGGCCTGAGCTAGGGACTTAGAAAAGTAGAAGAGGAGAGAGAGCTACTCTGAAAGAAAAAGGAGAACAAGAGGACTGAGAGCGGAGTGAGGGGAGACGTACAGGCAGTCCCAAAGGCAGAGTGTAGACGCAGCTGGCACAGAGGTGTGCACGTCCTATTTTTAGTTTCACTCATGCACATCAACAGCTGCTGGAACATTTGCACACCAGAAGACTTCTTACAAGCAAAAGAGATTCATACAATAAGAGAACTTCAACTTTACCCTGGCTCAGGTGTTGCCGTTGTGATTGACTCAACTCTGGCTGCTACCCGCAGGTTATGTTTTTAACGCAAAAGTGAGGTGAAGCGTAAAGTCACATGACCCAGCATGCTGCTGATGCACACAGCCTGCAGCCGGATTCAAGTAAAACAGCTGCACGTAGCCGATAGTCCTATGTGAGTAATGTATGGAGGGACCCAACAGGCTAAGAGAGCAGTCAGAGGAGGTCTGTGATGGCATGATGGGCTGACATGTCCCACTGGTATCTTCTAGAAAGGCAGAAATGTGTGTTTGTTCTTTCAAAGGCTGCTGGGAAAAAGAGAGAATGGTATATTTATTGTTGCAGAAATATTTAATTCATGAGATACATGAAGAAATCTTAAAATCTACCCCAGTAATGGCTCCAAACTGAGCAGGAGCACCAACTATTGTAGAACCATGTCTGTTGTTAGCAGCCGAATGCATGGGTTTGATTCATATTTGAAAATAAATGAAAACCTCCCTGAGCCAGACCTCATTTGGGAGAAACAATGTCAGAGCTGCGATAATAAGCTCCTGCGTAGGTAGTGGAGCAAGTTAGCGCACTACCCAGAAGTAAGAAAAGAGGTTGTTTCATTTATTTATCAAATGTGAAATATTTATGGGATTCAATCTGCTGGCAGAGGAGGACCAGGCAGAACAAACTGTGGGTGGAAGAATCGCGAAGTTGCTTCATGGATGGATGTAAAAAAAAAAAATGTTTAAAAGGCATGTGGTGAAGAGCTGCCTGCTGCTCTGCATTCATCATTTTGTCCTAAAATTACATTCGCAGGCTTTCAGGCAGTCATGACTGCATCAGATGACACAAAGTGACACAGCACTGCAGGCCGTTAATGCATCACTCTGCTGTTTGCAGGACTTTGTCAGACAATGAGAATGGACGCCTCCCCTGCATGAACAGCCGAGATGTCTGTGTATACACAAGAAGCCAGACTACCTGCAGATGTACCGGTTGATCCAGTTTCACTTGTGCACTATCTTCTTTTTTCCCTGTGGCCTCGCCTCACGTTTGCTTTGTGAGGGAAAGCTGTCTTTTATTGAGGCCAGTCAGTACGTGAGAGAGAAACAACCAAAATGAGTCACCTAATGAACCCCAAGGAACTGCTGCTTCTGTGACACAGGCTAACGTTTAGGGTGGTGAAATATTTCTCCATGTAAGGGAGAAGTTAATTATGTGGCTCTGGTTCAGCTAAAGTGCTGTTCGATTTGTGGTTAATCCTCATCAAACTGCTGCACAAGGATTATACGTTTGGGCAGACACCTTGTTCAAATGAATGCAACACATATGCCACAGGATCAAACCTAGGCATAAACAGAGGGGGGGAAATGAGACCTGGGGGAAAAACATATGAGGGAAAAGGCAACACTGAGACAGATCACATTCAATGAGTTAGCAGCACTCTCTGAGCAAGACAGCATTTTAAATAAAACATGAAAGCGGGAGAAGAAGGCACTCCTCCTTATACAGCAACTTGTGACAAGTTATGATATTCTGAGAGACAGCACACTGAGCTCGGAGCGATCCCCGGGGAGACCCTTCCCTCTCCATCAGATAGACTATACATCAGAACCATCAAACACTCGTCCCACGACATCCAAGGCTCCTCGGTGGAGGCCGCACTGACCGCTGGGGACTGTGAGACGCTGATAAGTAACTAGACTTCCCCTGAGCAGCAAAACAGTTGCACTCGCTCCTCTGCGAGTGTCTTTGATTGGATGACAGAAGATCCATCGCTTGCAGAGGGGAGCCCTTCATTCTTTGGGCTGTTAAGTTTCTAACCAGATAAAAAAAAAACATTAAAAAAGCTATCAAGTCCTGTTTATGCTCTGCCAGAGCTATTCAACTGTGAGGGGCTTGAGAGGAAGAGCCTGTATCCAGATTGAGATGAAGATGTAAATAAGTTATGGATAATCTCTCTCCCTCTCTTACTTTTTTCCCCCTGTTGCTCTCACTCGCCCTGTAAAAGCCATATGCACATTTTTAGAATTCCCAGAGTTCTGCTGATGTGAAGAAAGACATGAAAGATTCATGCTTGTTTAAAAAATTCAAACGAATGTCCTGAACTTTCAGTGCGTAGCCAATATGGATAAATTATTTAGTCCTGTGATGCAAGAAGAGGAATCTGGGGTTTGGACTGTGCAAATAAATTCAACAGAACAATAACACAACTGGATAAAAGTGTAGATTATGATTTGTGACTGAGAGTGGTTGGTGTGTGTGGTAAAGGCTGATTCATCCACAGTGATGAAGATAAGGGTTTTTTGGGTAGAGTTCAGGTTTGTCTGGTTTCCTTTCATGTGGAGGTTTCCGGTAGGACTGACTAGACAGTGCTAGTGATGAGAAAAGCTGCAGAGCTGGTCAGTGAATGCACCAGCAGAGGGAGACCATGTCACATCACCCTGCTGTAAACTCTGCTGTATATGCATGGAGAGAGCTCATATTAAATAAACACACGCATGTCCTACACCACCATTAGACTGAATTAAGGAGCTATTTTATATTTGGTGTGTTTAATGTGATGCAAAATAAATGACAACTTAAAAAATGTATCCATGAATCAGAATTTAATTGAAAAAATAAAGATAAACTAAATAAATAAATGTTATTGGTGAAGTGCTTTTCACAGTGCTCCAAGACAGTTTACATGGGATTACAAACAAACAGAAAGCAGATAAAAGCAAAGAACAATACATTTGAAGTGCAAATTATAATCACACATTGAAAAATAACACACACAGTCACAATCAAACATTAACAGCTGATAAAACCTGCAATAAAGTCTTGACTGAAAGGTAAGGGTTTTTTAAGACTTCAGGTCTTTTCAATGTACTTTAAAATTGTATTTTTTATTTCATATATACAGCATGTGCATGAATATAAAAAAGTATATATTTACTGTACACAAACACTTTCTTTTACTTCTATGATAGTGAAGACACTCATTGGCATAATGCATTCCTGAGCCCCTTACTCTAACCATCAAAACTAAATGCCTAACCCTCAGCCTTACCTTAACCCTAACCTTAACCCTAACCCTTACCTTACCCTAACCTTAACCCTAACCCTTACCTTAACCTTTACCCTTACCTAAACCCTTTCCTTAACCCAATCAAAATGTCCTCACTCTTTAAGGTGTGTGTTTAAAATAGTTCTCACAAAGGTAAAAGTACAAGTAAACACACACACACACACACACACACACACACACACTCTCACACTCACTCACACACACACACACACTCACAGCTGATTAAGGGTTAAAGACTGTGGGACAGTGAAATCTGATACAGTTCCTAATGACTGACTTCGCTTGTGGCTCAGACACGCGGAGTTCTACCTGTTTTTCTAAAGCTTGATTTCCACTGGTCGGTTTCATGTCGTCACTGATATGTGGACGGTGCAGCTGAGAGGTGTCACGGGAGGAAAAAACAAACGCCAGTCGTGCGTCGTCCCGTCCGCTGCCCAGGACGCTGCGTCATGGCGACAGAGGCGAAGACTTGAGTCGTTTCCTAACCGGAATTAGTGTGGACTGAGTGGAGCTGACAGCAGATACACGTGTAAGTACGACATGTCTAAGTACTCTGTGTCAGTGAGAAGAAAGTGGCCATGTTTCGTCTTCCGTGGACATTTCCTGTTAGTGTGCGTGTCACCTGCGCAGCCAGGTGAGACACCTGTAGCCTCAACAGCAGTGTGCAGTGTTGGCTGAGTTATCTGTGCAGTCAGGTGTGTGTGAAACCTGGCTGTTGCAGAGCAGGTCGGTCATACTGGAACACTTCCACTGTGAAATAAGGTAACATCCAGCCTTTCTCTCTCCTCTCTCCCAGTATGGTGGATGACAGTGTCTCATATGAACCAGCAGAGGCCCTAGTCTCTAACAGAGGTGGCCCCGTATAAAATGGAGGAGCTGGCTCTGATGACACTGCTGGAGTGCCCTCTGTGTTTGGAGCAGCTGGATGTGTCAGCCAAGGTCCTGCCCTGCCAGCACACGTTCTGTGCCTCCTGCCTGCAGAGGTACGAGGTGGCCCACTCCCAGCTGCTCTGCCCAGAGTGCTGTGCCCCTGCCCCGGCCAGGACGGTGGACGAGCTCCCTGCGAACCTCCTGCTCGTGAGGCTCCTGGAGGGGCTCCAGGGTTCCACGGGGCCCACGAGCAGACAGACTGGCCGCTACGCAGTGCCTGTATTCAGGGGCAGCTCGGCAGTGAGGGAGGGTCAGCAGCAGCAGGAAGGTCAACACAGAGAGATGCAAGGCCACAGTGAGGTCAGTGCATATCTATTATAAGCTATATGACCTTGAGTGCCGTCTATTATCAGTAGGTTTATTCCTCTAAATCTGGTTCTTCCTTTCAAAACTGAGATTATTTTAAAATGTATTTATAACATTATTAAATATTTCACTGTCATAAAAACATATAAGAACATCATCAAAAATCAACGGTGACTGAAATCAGTTCACTTGGGAAACTGTTTCTGCTAATCCAGCAAAAGAAATACCTGATAAAAATCCAATTCTTTATTATTCAGTTTTTTGTGACTTCAATTCAATATTGCCATAAAGCAGACCTGCTCATTGATTTGTAACACTGTCCACAATGACCTCATGCATCCTCAAACATGAGAAGTAGTTGACAAATGGATATTGCCTAATGCTACTTATTGTCACCCAACCTGACCCTATATATAACGTCGCTGTGATTTATTTCTTTGCACTTTGTGGAATAAGGCTCATATACCTCATCTATGACCTATTGAACTGTTTCTCATCATTGTGTATTCACCTCACTCAAGTATTCTTTTTATTAAAAAGTGTTCAGCTTCACTCACAAATGAAGCTGGAAGGTATCAAAATGTTTTTCCTCTGCTGATGTGAGGAGATTCCCTCCAACCTCCAGGAGGAGTATGCGTTATTATTTTTACAGACGTACTTCAGACGAAGGATGATTAACTCTCATATCATAGATAATAAAGGGAACCCCAGCCCCCCTGACTCCTCTCCTCCTGACTGACAAACAGCAGGAGCTATACGAGTAAGATTTAAAAAACAAAAGAAATGACGTGATCCTGAGTGAAGCTATAGTGCTTCACATCAGTCGATAGCAATAACTATCACGATAAATGTCTCTTTATTATTTCTGTTAAGTCTAAAGACTGATTTTGGTTTTTAGCTTATGAGCAGAGAATGGTAAACTCTTGATAAACAGCAAAACATTTTATAAATCTAATGTAGTCTTCTTTATATTTATATGCTATCCCCCCTCACTGTGTATTATATTACATTGACGTCTGATGGTGTTAAATTGTGTGACGTAAATCAGAGAGAGATTCAAACAATGAAAGTTAACCAGACAGGACAGAAATATAAGTCAAAGAAAACCTTAAATGCTTTCAGAAAACAGTACATTCTAGCTTACTTGAATAGATGTCATATATAAAATGTACATTTCATGTCAAATGTGTCTAATTTTATTTCAGGTTGAATCGGGAGGAGTGTGTCATTTCATTTTTCTTTTTTTTGGTGCGGGTTTAAAAATAATTTATCAGTATAAAAAGGTCTGTGCAATACACCTACCGCTGTGACCTGATTTAAACTCTGAGGATACTTCGCAGGCAGTCGGTATTTTCGCAGCGTTTATTTGGTTCGAACGTTTTATTCTCCCAGGTGACGAGAAACACATCGAGATGCCTTCTCAGTGCTTCTTCAGATAAACTGTTCGGAGAGTTCAAGAGTTTATTTGAAATGTGCGGCTCGAGTTCAGCCACAGTTCAGAAATCACAGGGTGTTTTGGCATTTTCCATGCGAACTTCAGAAACACGCAGCTCAAAAATGATGTGGTGTGATTTGTTCCACCATCACAAAAACAGTTCATTTTACCGTGTTCATCTTTAAATTAACTCCAAACATAGAGATATGTAAAATAATTAACTCGGACCAGATGAAATATGAGTTTAGCCTAACAGTGACAGGGAAATGTGTCTTATTGTTGATATGGACAAAATTCCATCTTATTAAGTGAAACAGAACGTGTTCTGTAATATAAATATAAGAAATCACAAAGTATAAGCATTTTCATTCATTTTTCATTTTTTGTGTTGTGATAAAAAGTAGATTCAATCTTAAAAGACACTGGTCACATTTATGGATTGTAAACTTTCACTAGTTTATTTCATCTAAATTGTATGAATTGTAGTTTTCTTTACCCCAGAAAAGGTCCTTTATATTTAAATACTTTATATTTACATAGAGGGGGTCCTCTCTACGGAGGCCGCCATGTTTTTTACATTAGTCCAGACTGGACAATCTTTTGACTAAACACCTTTTGAGTTTTTATGACAACTGAAGCTACCACAGGTTCTTTTTCATGTTTGGAAGGAGAGGGTGAGGTGAGGGGTGTTCAGCTGCAACATGCAACTTCAACACTAGATATCACTAAATTCTTCACACTGAACCTTTAACACGTAAGAATGTAAAAATCCAGGGGGTTATGGAATTATATTTTCTTTACTGAAAAGACATTTATTACGTGAAAGCCACATAAGTTTCTCATTTTTAGTGCAGCTTTACAGTAAATCCTGAGTTCATACTACAAATCATCTTATAGGGGGAAAAGCACGTTTCTTATTATCTTCGAAAACTGAAAACTGAAACTGAACATGAAGAAGATGCAGAGGTTTTTCAAACTGTCTCTCATCCTGAGTGAAACCTATAACACGTTTGTTCCAGAGCTTTTCACAGATATATAAACCTGACCTCTTTCTTGTTGACCAGTCACCTCTGCACAGAACCTGGTCACAGTTTGGCACAGTTCAAGTAAAAGGACGTAATACATTGCAGACAATTATCTTGTTCTTAAAAAGGGGGGGCAGCCTAGAGGGCCTTTACATCCAATAATCCATAAAGTGAACAATCTCACCATCTTCAGGAATAGGATTTTAGTCATAATTTCATCTTGCAGTAGCTGTAGTGTGAATTTTCTTCCTGTCTGTTCCCAGCTTGCTGTCAGATCTTCCACAAGAAACCAACGTGACGATGGAGCAGGAAAGCCGGCCCTCGCGCCTGGCAACGGTATCACCCAGAAACACAAAGCGGATGAAAAGTGGCACCAAGGGAACGCTGGAGACGGCAGCGGTTGGTCTGTGACTGCCAGTGCACAGCAGGCCGTCCCCCAGGTGCCTCAGCTGCAGCCCCTCCAGCAGCACCCCCAGCCGCTCTTTCTCTGCAGGGCGCTGTACAACTTTAATCCAGAAGAAATGAATCTGGAGGACAGTAAATATTGTCTCAGCTTCCTCAAGGTCTGACTCTCAACTGTAGACTCAATGTAACAGGAAATACTTATTTTCTTTGATTCTGCTGCTGCAGGCACGCTTTGCTCCTGCTGGAAGAGGCGGGGTCTAATGTCTAATGCCTGTTCTGATTGGCTCAATCAACCAATCCCCCTTTTTGCGTTACTACTACTAACTACTAGAAAGAAAGTAGAGATATTTGCTCATATATGTATTGGAGTAAAAGTTCAAACTACCTTAAAATACATCTACTTAAATAAAGGACCCTCTTGCTGTGAGGAAACGGTGCTAAACACTGAACCACTGTGCCACTTGAGTGAATGAATGAATCAGTAATAGAATTAGCTAGAATATTAACTTGTTGCAGTTCTTGAACTCTGAAACTAATTTATCTTCTCTGGTTACGAGAGGGTTTTTTATGTATGAATGGAAAAACATTTTGTCGTTTTAAATATAAGTCTTCTGCATTTTATGATATTCCGAATATCTGATTTCCTTATCAGATCAGCATATTATCTCCCTGCTCCCATATTACAGAAATTACATCTAAATCCATTCAAACAACAATCCGCTGTGTTTTTGTTTGGACATGAACTTGCCGTGAACTGCTTTTGTGTAGCACAGAAAGTTCCCAGTTGTACTAACACATAGTGGTGACTGCTTTTTTGTTCTTCTGAATGTTTAGAGAGACTTGCAGAGCCGGAGGTTCAGATCTTTGTTGCAGTGGGTTGACTTTACCCTGAAGGATTTCTGAGGCAGTTATATAAGGCTTCAATACTTGTGTGCTCTCCATTAAAGCACACTTGAGCTCGCCTCTTTTTCTTTTTTTAAATGCAGATGGTCAGATGGATTTTTAGAGCGAGCCTGGCTGCAGAAAGGACTGGGCCTGCAGACACATAGAGCGCTGGGACAGAAAGGGAGGGAGAAACACGGGGCTCTGAGAGTTTTCCGAGTTGAGTGCTCCTCGCTCTCCAGGGCGAGGACACTCTGTCATGACCACCTGGCAATCTTTTGTTTTATTATTCCTCCCCTTGGTTTCTCTGCCTATTGTCACCTTTTCACAACTTTCTCTAAGTTGAGTTCTCTCCATTTATCCATGACTTATTTCTGGTTTGCAGGGCGACATCCTTACCGTCATCAGGCGGCTGGATGAGCACTGGATTGAAGCCAAGCTCGGGGACAAAGTTGGAATTTGCCCTCAGCAGTTTACAGAGGTGAGGTTTAAAATTTTTTTTTTAACATCCTTCCTTTGCAGTTTGAATGCAGGTTGTGGCCTTCTCAGAGTAATCAACTTTGACACTTACCATTTTTGCACTTTGATGGTGTCGCTGTTTTAATGAACTGAACCACAGACGTCGTCGCTGGATGTCATTAATTCCAGGTCACTCCCAGGGCAATACCTTCGTTTTCATTCAAATCTTTGATTCAGCCCTAAATGTTACTCTTACGCTGCCAAGTGCTGAGGCAGAGAGCTAATCTGTGAGGCCCTGCTGTGTCTGCAGCTGCTCATTAGTCTGTGACTATGTGGCTTACTCAGGTCTGCAGTGCTTGTTTTGCTCGCTTGGCTGTCATTTGTTTTCCTCTGTACTTTCTGCCTCCAGGAATTAACTTCATCCATGCTGGGGAAAACTCTATTCGTGGCTACATGTCCTGCCTCATTCACTTCTTGCTCACTTCTCTCACTTGTCATCAGTAGTTTTCCATTAATATTTCTCCCACTCTCATTAGTCTTCTCCTCCTCTCATGCCTCCTTTCATATCCTGCTCACAACATTTCTTTTCCTAAAGCCCTGCCTCAGTGATGCTCTTCATCTTTATCTTCCTCCGTACTCTGTTCTTTCATCCTCTACTTTCCTCCTCTCCTCTATCCTTCCCGAGCCCGCCTCTCCTCGTGTCGTGCAGCCAGGCGTGAAGACAGTAATGCTTTCTCTGCTTGGGTGGCATAACAGCACATCACTGTGGGGAGTGAAAGCATTAACCCCACCATGCCTGTCTGTGTGTGCAGCTCCTCTCTCAGCACCAGTCAACCCGTCCTGGCTTATTGGCTGGTACTTATCCTGCTGTCTGCCTGTCTGTCCAACAAGTAGTAGGGGTGAGTGGAGTGGTGATAAGTGGGTGTGTTTAGACAGACGTTTGGCTGCACAGCAGGAGCAGAGGTTGACAGGCACCGGTAGGAGTGAGTTGGAGAGGATTTTCTTGACTGAGGATTGACTACTCTGTGTGTTAGGATGTATCCCGATTTTCACTGTGGTTTCTCTTTATGAATTCATCTCTTTCAGCCAATCTTTGTGGCTGGCAAACAGCTAGAGGGAAAGAGTCGGCGGGCGAGTGACTCAGCAGATTCTCACTATCGTTCTGGTAAAGGGGGCAAGGCCACGGACGCAGCCAACAGGACCGGCCATTACGGAGTCGCTCAAGTTCCAGCTAAGACGCCCATCATCAATGGTTTGCCCTTCTCCAGCCACCGGAAACAGCCCGCGGCTGGCAGAAGCCACTTATACGTGACGACCAAAGGAGAGACCACCAACATCAGCACCATCAACGGCTTCAACCGCCAGGGTCAGCCACTCCAGCTCTCTGTGCCCTCTGCTGCCCGGGGCCACTCTCACCCCTCCAGAGTGAACTCTCATCGAATTAGACGCCACTCTGACCCCACGCACAGACACCTGTCACACGTGAGTCACATGCAAACATATTTGTCCCAATGCATTCTATACTGATGTGATAAAGTTGCTTATTTTTATCTCTATTAGTTTCTTCTTTCATAACCTTTGAGTTGAACTGTTTTGGGCTTTGTTGTGTTTGCAGTGATTGAAACAGAAAACATGTGGTTAGCAAGAGGCACAGCGGATTTCTTTGAGGTAATAGATGGTTGTATGAGTCACGGGGATCAAGTTGTCTCCAGGGTTACTGGGAGGGAGCCATGACACTAGGTGTAAGGAATGAATAAAAGAGCGGCATCGCCCTTGTGTTTTGGTCGTTACATGATAAGCGGCTCTCATTAAGGCTGTAAAGATGTGGATAGGGGCTGGATATTAAAGGAGTGAGGACAGGAGGTGAGTAGACTGAAACTTTAAAAGGTCCTTAATCATCAGTCCTGGGACATAAGCCAGGGTTGTCTCTCAGAGATGAATAACAGACGAACAGGGTGTGTGTCCTGGCCTCTATTCTTTTGTTTTGAGGGTAGAGAGTTGAAGGAAGCTGTGAACTTGTTGTCTTCTGATTCCACAAACGTCCGTCTGTCTTTATGTCACTGTCTGTCTGTGGAAGGCGTATCTCACAAATGTTCATCTGATCAGCTTGATGCTTGGCATGAGTATTGTAAATTGTCTTAGGAAGTGCAGTGCTGAGTTTGGTGTGATTTGGCCATGCAATATGTTATATATTAATACAATGTGAATAAAAAGGCAAGTCGTGATCTGTAGCTGTCAGTGGGGACAGGGCAGCGTGCCTTCAGTCTGCGGACCGAGTTGAACGTGTCTTTTTCTACGTCCTCAGATAATCTTCAGCAGTGGTTGACAACTGTGGCAAACCACTGGTCAAAAATCATTGCCAGAACATTGATTATCTGATTATTTTTATTTTGCCATTTTGGAGTGACACAGACATTCACGGGCATCGTGGGTGACAATTTCCATCATTGCAACGACATTAAAGTTGTTAGTAAAAGCATGTTTGTTTGTTTTTTGCTACAATGCTTTAAATCAAGCTGAATTAGAGGGCTTTTATTTTGAATAGTTGTTAACTTAGGTCTGAAGATTGTGTTGGTTGCTCAAAACACCTCTGAAATGTAATGTATGAAAAAAAGTTATTTGAACTCATAAACCACTTATAAATCATTATCTACTCACCACGATGCCAATGGAGGGTGTGGGTAAAGTGTTTGAGTCACTTTTGGAGATTCAGGAGTAAACAACGTTGCAGCCAAATCCAATACAATTAAAGTAAATGTGGACGGATTATTCAAATGTGAAAAAACTGTAAGGAAGAAAAAGAAACAAAATGCCTCCATACTGCTCCTGTGGTGTCATCCAAGTGTCTGCAAGCCCTGACATTCAAATTTGAAGTCAAGGTCATTTACACTGTGTTTTCAGCCTTAATGTCTGCTGTTATCCTCAGCCTGGAGCCATTGAGCCATGGAGAGTATTTAAATTTTAGGTGACCTATCCTTTAAAAGTCCAGTGTGTAAGATTTAGTTGAACTGGATCTATTGGCTTAAATTAAATATAAAATTCGTGTTTCATCTAAGTTGTACAAATTGTTGTTTTCTTTACTCTAGAATAGACCATTTATATTTAAATACCTCTCTACGGAGGCCGCCATGTTTTTTACAATCGTCCCAAGTTTTTATGACAACTGAAATCTACCACAGGTTCTCTTTCGTGTTTGGAAGGGGAGGGTGAGGTGAGGGGTATTTAGCTAATACATGCAACTTCACCACTAGATGTCACTAAATCTTACACACTGAACCTTTTCAGCAAATAAAAAAGTGACAGTATATCAGAACTGTTTGAGGTGGACTCACTCATGATAAGGAATCATTCTAAAGTAGCTCTGGAGCATCCACACCAGCAAACAGCCCATTCCAAACAGGCTGGTTTAAAACAGGCACTGTGCTTGTATTCTTAAAAGACACAAGGTAACGATTTTAAAGAAAAGAGTAAATCTTATTTACCTATAATAGAATGACAAGTGTTCAAGTGTATAACACAGAAGCACACTAACACTGGAAAACTGAGGTCACCTTTACTGTTATCATGTCTTCTTAATGAATCATAACCTAAACACTAGAGTCATGAGCACACTTGAAACCAACACACAAAGAGTGTTTGCCTCTGATCAGAATATAGGAACGTAGGGGCCTGAGGACAGTCTGCTAAATAAAGAACCCACTCTTTGAAACCTGCTGCATATTTGATAGGACTGCATCACATGACGAGATGATGGAGGGATGATGAAAGTCCCCAGGGGACATTTTTGTCCATTATTTTTTATTTTCCTAAATCGGCCAAGACAAGACATTGTGTAGCTCAGGTGCTTCGGTCTGTGGTAATGGAGCAGTAGTGTGGAGGCAAATCAGATAAACATGATAATGAACAAGCAACACGATAGAAAAACTAAGAGAACACACTGTAAAATGCTTTAAGAAAATTCACTGATTTAATCACTTCAATCTTAAGTTTTTAATGAATTCATGTCATATCACAGTTTATATAAATAGAGCTGAAGTCATGGCCAGCGAGTGTCTGAGTGCAGTGTCAACATGAAAGTTTCTGCCAGGTTTAATAATAGTGTAACCTGCCCTGCCCCCCTGAGATTATCATCTGCTATGTTTCCTTTAAGATTTCACTCTTCCCCACAATCGCACAGTACATTTCAGAGCGTAAACATACTAAACCTACTGCAGTTTGGAGATAAACCAAGGGAGGAAGGGAGGTACAGCAGACTGAGAAAAATCAGGAAATGGGAGAGATTAAGACGGGAAGAGGAAAAGGTGAGAGGAGATGTTGAAAACAAAGATCTGAGAGGAGAAACACAAAAGCAACATTTGTGAACTGCGAAAAGGCAAAGCAGAAGAAGTAGGAAGAAGGAAGAGGAGAGATGAGGGAGTGGGAGGCTTGGAGAGTCCCTCAGTGTGTCTGCTTATCGCTCTCATACTGATGATGATGAGTCACTGGTGAAGTTGCTTACATAACGGACCCCTCTCTTGCTCTCCCCCCCCCACCCCKCCTCTCTCTCTCTCTCTCTCTGTCTCTCTCTCTCCCTCCTGCCTTCAAACTCCTTCCTCTTCACTTAGCAGGTAACACTCACTTTCACATCAGTTGGCCGGTAATGGCAGATGAGCCCGGCGCTTCCATTTTTAAAGAAGCAGAGGGCTCTGTCTCCGATCCCGACCCTCGAATCCCCCCCGCTGACTGCGCGCTATTCTTAGTGTCGCATTCCATCAACCCTCACCTCTGGCTTGGCAGTTTTCACAGAGAGGTGCAGCTTCCCACCAACTGTGGATGAAATAATGTGTATTAGTGTGAATAATGGCATGCTTATGTAAGAGCAGAATTTAGCATGGAAATGAGCCAAAAGAAAAAAAAGAAACTTCCTCAGATGCAACAGAGGAGAGTCAAACACTGGTACATCAGGACACCAGTTAACATATTTACATACAATTGAAGCCTCGGAATTGACTGTATAATAGAGGTGAAAAGATTAGTGGATTAATGGAATAATTGATTAATGTATTTATAGAGCACTTTTCAAAAATCCACATAACAAACTGCTTTACAGTGGTAGTAGAGGTGTCCAAAAATCTTTACTCAAGCAGACTTCCAAACTTGAGGAACCACAACCTTGAAAATAAGTCAGGATTTTACAATCACACCCTGAGCTCTTGATATTCATCAGACAAAAAGTTCAAAATAAACACAGCCGCCTTAATCTCACAGGGTTGTTGTTGAAGTCAGTGTGATGGGTGTATGAGTCGGGATTAAATCCTATGTGTGTGTGTGTGTGTCTGTGGCGAGGCAAATTAGAGGATGGCCACAGGAAGCGGATATATGACCGTACCTTAACATTGCAAGATACAACTTTTCAATATTTTCACCGGTTTCCCAGGGAATAATTATATTTTTCTGTTCAGAGGCAAAGGACTCAGAGTGCAGGCTTAAAATCAAATTGAAAGAGAGAAGGCAGAAATCACAGGACTGATCAGAGGTCGTACATACATTTATGTATTAGTGACTACAGATGTCTGATATTCAGGGGTGTTTTTTAGTTTTTGGCTGAGGGGATGATTTTATAAAACTGGAGCTGTTTTGTAGGATGTTCTTCTTAGAACAGTTACTAAGAAACTTTTTGCAGACAAATGAAATATATGATGACCCTTATATTGCGTGTAGGCACTCGGCAGCTATTCAAACAGACAGCCTGTGGTGTCTTTATTAAAAATAATGCTGTAACATTAAAGCAATTTTTGCAACAGGAAGGTTTTGAGATTACATCAAAGATTTATCAACAACAAACAAATTTACAAAATAGTGGATTGTTTCACAACTTTACTAAACACATTTTTCATATTTTTCTGGATTTATTCATGTAATTGTTAATTTCATCCTGGTTGATTTATTTATTTGATTTTGAACACTTTACGTTTCCATTGGATTATGTGAGGTTGCTGGTTGAGTGCTCTCATCAGCAGCAACATTAATATTCTGTTAAGAAGATTATTTATTGCAGCAGGAACATGTCAACAGTTTCAACCAAATGACACTTTTTTCACTGCATGACCAAAAATGGAGTTGCAGCCACTGCCACAGGGTCACGGTGTCGGTCTATCTCCAGCCTGATACAACTGAAGTTTTGTATCTTTGTAACTGATAAAACATAAACCAAATATAGAAAAAAGGACACAATAATTCAACACATGCAGTGGACAGTGGACAAAAGATAAAAACAGTGGTGCTCATCAGGAATGTTTCAAGGGTCTTTGGAGGCTCCAGGCAAAAGAGACCTACATGAAACCAACTGACCCCAGAAGAAGCATCATTTCAATTTTGAAACAATTCTTTTAGTATCAAAATTTTAAACAAAGTGCAAACATGTAAATAATAGTAGAGTATTTGGGTTTAAATATAAAACTCATCCCAGACATATATACACATTTAGATATCTTAAACATCAGCCTAATCTACATCTAAAAACTTTTGGTAGGAATATAGTGACATGGGGCCTGGTTAGGGGGTTTCCAGCCACTGCAGTTTCCTGTACGTAGCTCATTACAAAATCGTCTTTGCTCTGGACTAACGTAATCAGCTGTTCTGGGGTGGGCCCTCTCAGCGGGCAATTCCCTGCCTATTCTGTTGGAACACCCCCTGACACTCATCCATCCTTCTCCCCTGTGTGACGTCAAGCTGGTATGTCTTCAGGACATACTAACTGCATCACAACTGTATCTTTACTTCCGCCTCACAGCACATCCTTTGACAGGAGAGACTCTGAGACTTACAGCGTTGGCTGCATGCTAATTATGGCTCTTTGTGTTTCTCTTGAGTTACAGTGTGAATGCAGCGCAGCTTAATGGTGAGAGAGCTGCAGGATCCGTGGGATATACGGCAGTGTCTATAGAGGGAACCCCAGGCCCACAGGCCAGCATTAATGCTTTAAGTAGCATTTGAGTGCTATGGTGCAGAAAATAGCAGCGAGCATCTGTGGACGTCACTGAGGAGATATAACATTTCCACGTCTCTGTAATGATGACAATAAGAACACCTTATGTGTGTGGGTTTGTTTGGTCAGAAGAGTAAATAGGAATTAAAGATCTCACTAAAAGCCCTCTTCAGTTAAAGTAATGAAGTCGTTGGGGATTAAAACTTTGTGCTGTGTCATTGACGGCTGTGGGACACACCTCAGTGTCACTCCCTGCTGTCGCTGGCTGAACCAGGCCTGACTCACAGCCTGCTGATTTCAAGCCAGTCACCGTTTGTTAGCGCTCGGCTTTAAAAAAAGAAAAGCTCGGACTTATTGAGACATGAAAATCAAGTCTGTTATTGTGCGTTTTTCTTCTGTGTGTTTTTACTGTTACTGGCTGAAGATGTAATTCTATTCAGGATTTCAGGAGACATTTCAAAGAAAATGACCTAAATACATGAATAGAAAATACATATAATTCCAGGAAGCAGGATGTAAATGTTGAGTGAGTGGTTTGATGAGTAATCTAACCGAGTTTGACAGTTCTCTCCACTGCGATCATAAAAACACTAAACTGGGGGAATGTTTTGTTTATGAGAAAGAAGATAATAGAGGATAGGTCCCACATTTTGTCAAGCTGTCTGGAAACAATTCACCCATCCCCCTTTGAATAGTTTTTGCTCCTATTCACAACTGCCAGTGGAACTAAGGGAACCGATTGGGGACAAAACGCAGGTCTTTGTTCTGTACTAGAGAAAATTCCAAATTAATCTGAACTGAATATGAGGCTTCTGCAGCATCTACTGGGTGGATTATCATTCAATTTTGCACAGACATTCATAGGATGAATGAGGGACTTTTGTGACCTCCTCTCCTCTAAATTAAATTTTCAGTGACATATTTTGGTTTTAGATATCATGGATATTTGGAACATATTGGATGGATTTCAAGAAGGTTCTTGGTTTGAATCCCAGTTCGCCAGGGGTCTTTTCTGTGTGGGTTTTCTCCAGGTGCTATGGCTTCCTCCCACAGACCCAAGACATGCAGGTTGGGGTTAGGTTGACTGGAGACTCTAAATTGGCCGTAGGTGAGAATGAGATCGAGAAAGGTTGTTTGTCTCTGTATGGTCCTGCGACATGCTGGAGCCTTGAGCAGCTGAGATCGGCTCCAGCCCCCTAGCGACGCTCAATGGATAAGCTGTATTGATCATGGATGGATGTTTGGATTTCCATTAAATTCTGTACACTGGTTAAATCATCACATATGATACAAAGCTGTATGACTCCACTACTTTAGTTTGTGAACAAATAACCATCAGAATGAATGATATCAGCCTGCTGCATTACAGCCTCGCAGAGCTGCCTGGCTGTATGACTCTTGTTTTCATATCGTACTCTTAAATTATGTATCATGCAAATATGATAATGATTTTGAATCCATCTCATTACAGAGTAAGAAGATGAGCAATGAGACTCCACCCACCATCTCTATGGCTCTGCTAAACCCGCAGATGTCCTCGGCCTCTGCAGAAAGTAAAAACTCCTCCACGCAGCAGCTTTCCATCAGTGTGTGAGTCACTGTTTTAAACTGTATATTAATTGTTTGATAATGTGTGGTCAAGGATAAAGGAACCTAAACACTGAATTAACCAGAAAACAGGCAGCTAAATATGAATATACGTTATTATACATTGTAGAGTTAACATAGACAACTCTCTGTGTGACCCCCTCAGGTGTGCTGTCCTTTACTCCTACAAACCACGACGGCCAGAGGAGCTGGAGCTGAGGAAAGGAGAGATGGTGGGGGTGTACGGAAAGTTCAAAGAGGGCTGGCTGCGAGGGTTATCACTCAGGACGGGCAAAGTGGGTATTTTGCCGAGCAACTACATCTCGCCTGTGCTTAGGTGAGACACGGTGGGAACTCAGTGACATTTAGATTCAGACCATGATTTAAGGTGGGCAAGATGACATGTCATTCTGCCTATATCAGTCATCCATGGAATGTAACACTGTATCACGGAGGCTGGTGCTTGGTTCAAACTTTCCGATTTTTACTTTTCTCACTGCAGAACGTCAGCCAGACTCCTGGAGACCAAAGCAGCTACTGCGTCCTCACAGTACAACACTGTAGGTGGTAGGAAACCGACTGCTGCCAAGAATCCTGCTGTGGTCCTTGCTCTTGATAGGGTGAACACTGATGGAGCAACAGGACAGGTTCCATCTGTGCCAAATGGAGCACAGCATGCAACGTCATCCACAGGCACTGGAAAACCGTCCTTCTATGGTCGCTCCCAAGGTTGGGACGCTGTAAGGCGAATCTTTAACCCTCATAGAGGTAAATGTTAAACAACCTCATTTGTCTTTTGATTTCTTAATTTTGTCACTAGGCTCTTAAAGAATATCTTTTGAAATGTTATTTTTCTGTGGTTTTTTTTAGGATCAAACCACTTCTCCCAAATGTCCACTTTGAATGTCCTGTCCAACTCACAGCACTTTGCACAAGTTCAAGCGTCTGGCTACTCACCTGCCATGCAGAGGAAGAAAAACAGCAGCATCCTGTCCAGCTCTGTAAGACCCATGGGCTGGATGACTGAGCCGGCAGCGTCCTCTGCTGGTGCAGTCCTGAAGGACAGGGACTTCATGACTTCACATGAAGCAACAGCTCAGCATGATAGACAGCCCACCAGTGGGCCTCACTCAATTTTAGTCAGACATGACTCCCACAAGAACAATATAGAGAAGGTAATGTCATACTGCTGATCTCTGTGCATACAGTCTTGAACGCTTACTCTTTATTTGATCACTGTAAAACCTGTTTCTTACAGTAAATATTTATGTTCCTAGCCTGCAAAGTCAGTGCGCTTCATCACAGATGAAGATGCCCCTGCTCCGAGGCTTCGAACCTCCTCCTGGTCCTCAGGAAGCCAGGTCCCCACCAACTCCCGGTCGGGCCCCCCTCCATTAGAAGTTTGGGCCCCATCGCTCACCCTTGGAAGAGACGGACCAGGGATCATCCTCAAGGAAGGAAAAGCTCCTGTTCTCCGGAAGGGCCTTGAAACAGCCATGTCAGACCTGAATTCTAATCCACAAAAACCCACATCACAGTCGGCTCAGTTTAGCCCCAGCAGGTGTGCTTGCCCGTGACATTAAGCAGTGATTAATTATCAGACACACAACATAGACTTAAAATGTTGTTATTTATTTAATGAATTGGAAAAAAAAAACAATGAACTTTTTTTTTTGTTGCTTTTCTTCAGACACAGAGTAACCACAACGCATTTGGCCCAGACAGAGTCTGAAGTCAGTCTGTTTCAAGGAGAGCTCGTCCTTGTCCACAGAGCTCGACCAGATGGACGGATTCTGGTTACTCAGGAGAGCAATGGGCAGACGGGACTATTCCACAGCAGTGTTCTTCAAGCCCTGGAGAGGCTCAGCTGACTGTGTAGTACGACTGTTGTAGGAAATATTTCTATATTCCATGTGTTCAAGCTGCCAAATAACTTGAGTGACCTGCTGAACAAAGAGATTCGAGCTGAGGTTAAAAGGTTAAGGCTGCTAAATGACAATCCCATGAAGGAGTCGTTTGTTTTAAGTACATATGAGAGTGTATGGTTAAATTCTCCAGAGGTATATTTTGTGTCCTTCAGCGTGTGTGCATGTTTGTGACACATGTACTATAGTTTTGCACAAAAACCCATCTAATGACTGTTCCTTGTTTGATACCCATGTTACATGCATTGGTGAGTGCCTTTGTCTAAACCCACACAGTAGACAATCTATATTTAAAAATATTTAGAGATATGATGTAAAATATCTGTAATGCTTATGTTAGAATAAACTCCCAGAACACTAGCAGTTTGGTGTCTTACTTCAGGTGTATAATGTAATCCTGTGCTTCAAATAACTTACTAACTTTACAAAAAGGATCCTCCTTATCCATAAATCCCCTGGCCCCCCGTACCAGTCTTATGACCTCCACCCTCATGCTCCATTCTGGAACCTACAGTCCTCAGACAGTTTAGCTCAGCGTCCTCTCTTCCAACTTGAAAACCTATGGTGACAAGTAATTTAGTGCAGCTGGTTTGGATGGGAGGGAAGCTAAGAGGAGGGAGGTTGGGTGTGATGGAGGGAGGGGAGGTAGTACGAGAGGTGAGAGCAGGAGCGGTAGGGTGGGGGATAACAGTAGAAGAGGGGACTTGGATGGTGTCGATGATGGGCCTCTGGGTTTTTGGAAGTGGTGGGGTTGTTTTCCAGAGGCTGTGGAGACATCTGCTGGGCTGTGGAGTAGCTGAGGTGAGAGTGGGGACACCATAGGTGGAGTCAGGATTTTTCTGTGTCGGAGAGTCAAACATTCCCTTGTCCTCTCCACTGGGGGGACACCATTGATGTCATTTCCATGGTCCTCCTAAAGCATCTCCCAGTCTGTTATCCAGTTTTATTAAAAGCTATACCATAACTATACTATAATGAAGAAATCCTTTCTTAAAGGTCCAGTGTGTAAGATTTGGGCAAAAGGGAACTATTAGCAGAAATTTAATGTAGAATAATCCTTATGATGTTTTCACTAGTTCATTTCATCTAAATTGTATGAGTTGTAGTTTTCTTTACCCCAGAAAAGGTCCTCTATATTTAAATACTTTATATTTACATTGAGGGGGTCCTCTCTACGGAGGCCGCCATGTTTTTTACATTAGTCCAGACTGGACAAACTAAACATCTTTTGAGTTTTTATGACAACTGAAGCTACCACAGGTTCTTTTTCATGTTTGGAAGGAGAGGGTGAGGTGAGGGGTGTTCAGCTGCAACATGCAACTTCAACACTAGATATCACAAAATTCTACACATTGTACCTTTAAACGAATCAAACATTTTTATTTGTCATTTCACAAATTGAACTAAAGATTTATGATGTGGAATAAGGTTTGTCTTTTGGGTAAATAACAAAGATTGCAGCAATCACAAGACATTGACACACATATGGATATTTTATTTTATATTAGTAATAATAATACTACAACTATTACTATTAACAATAATAACACTACTACTAAAAATAACACCCTCATGCACTACAGTCATTATGACCAGAATCAGAGCCAACCAGTGTCACACTCCCTTCCCTTGTACGCATGCGCAGACGAGCACAGCGCTAACAACAAGCTAGCGGCTGTGAGTCTCACATGTAACGGACACTACGCTGGCATGTACATTCTTCGGATAAGCTAGCGTCCAATGAAAGAAGCCTTACGAACACAACGCTTATTATAATCTCTTCTGTGCAGTCTCACCATGGCGGTAAGTCGCCAGGCCTGTTCGCCTGTTTTTTGTTTGGAAGTGAGGTTCCTCCCTTCCTTCACCCCACCCTCCTTTCTGATGTGATGCTAACCGGTTAGCATCGGTAGCTTAACTACCGCCGTCCTTTCGTGCAGGATGTAATTGAACGGGTTGTTTTTTCAGCTGAAACCGTGCGTCGGGTCGTGTTAACCATGTGCAGCTGCGACAGAGCATGTTTTCCAAATGAGCTTCTGTGCTAGTTGACATTAGCGTTTCAACATTAGCAACGCCAGCGTTCGCCTGCCTAGCAACCCAGCAAATGGAAAAACAGAAAACCGTGAGCTAAACGCTGAACAGACATACATACACTTGGCTTTCTATGTCTCTATAGTTGAGAGCACACTCCTTAAAAGAATGCACTTCCTAGCCCCTTGCCCTAACCATAACAACTAAATGCCCAACCTTAAAACCAAGACTTAACCCCCAAACAACCTATGAATTTGTGAGCATCATCCAAAATCAAAGGTTCAAGGTTTTATTTGTCATCTGCACAACAGATACAGCATACATGTTGGTATGAAAATCTTAAATCCCAGGCACCTCAAGCAACTCAACATGCAATAGTGTCAGAAAAGAAGAGTAACTAAAAATATAAATGTCCTCTAGATGCGATTAAACTATAGAAACACAAACACTGCTGGTTATCTTTGTATCTACAGTATACACAGAGTGCCAGCTATCCCCCCGACATCCATGTTACGTAGCTGAAATTGTAGTTTAGTGAGTTAACTGTCACCACACATTAGATGATATCCCATGACATAATTTAGTTTTTCTTTTCACAGAGTAACAGGCAGGAGGTCAGTGATAAAGTAAAGGTGGTGGTGAGATGTCGTCCCCTCAACCAGAAAGAGAAGATGATGGGCCACAAACAGGTCGTGATGGTGGATGAGATCCGTGGGACCATAACAGTCAACAAGCTGGAGAATCTTCATGAGCCCCCCAAGACCTTCACCTTTGACACTGTGTTTGGACAGGACAGCAAACAGCTGGATGTCTACAATCTCACAGCCCGCCCCATCATCAACTCTGTATTAGAGGGTTACAACGGTACATTTAAAAAAAAAAAATCAATAAGCCATTGCTGTAAGATCAGGATCCTCACTGTAATGACTGCTGGGCCCTCTTCAGACGCTCAGATCCTTAGGGATCCTATCACAAGTGGTCAGCGCTAAGTACTGGTCTGAAGACACTAAAATGTTTCCTGAGATCGGATCACTCAGACCACATTGGAAGGTCATCTGGGACACATGTGACCACATTAATTTTGCTGTGTGAATGCATCCTGGTCTTGCATGTGTAGGATCGCCAACTCAAAATTAAGGCTGTCCACTTGCGATCGGCTCTCTCAAGACTGATGTTAATACCAGGTTTCAACAGCAATTCATAGCATCTACATTTAATCTCTGTCAAATGTTTGCCATTTGTGTTTTTTTATTGTTAACCATAATAACTGCTATTGTTTCCTTCAATCTTTAATTTTCATACTCCACACTAGCACAGATGGTGTGATCTTACACTCTGCTGTTCATTTCAGGCACCATTTTTGCATATGGGCAAACTGGCACAGGAAAAACCTTCACCATGGAGGGAGTGAGAGCAGTGCCAGAGCTAAGAGGGATTATTCCAAACTCTTTTGCCCATATTTTTGGTCACATTGCCAAGGCAGAGGGGGACACCAGGTAAGAGAGGAATCAGTCAGCAAATAAAAACATTTTTTTTGGTCTAAACAAAAAGTTATCCACTCCCCTTTCAGTTCAGTTGACAGCTTTCATGACTCCATTTACATAATGCATAAATTAATTTAAGGATTTGGTGTTGGTGTAGAGTAAATATTTCTAACAGGCACACTCCATCACAAGCAACCAGCATGATGTTACTACTGACATACTCCCTTGGTTTTGCACTAAAGCAACAGTTTTATCTGAATGCACTGTTGTAAATATTATTGAGCTAAAGGTTAGCATCTTTATCACCACCCGCAAGTAGTAACAGCTGTTTCATAATCTTAATCTCACCGATCAGAAAATGCTTGTTAATCACACAGAATGGCAGAGTAGGTTGTCATATACAATTATACTCAAGTGGGGGAGCTCCTGAGTTTTCTAAAGCATTTAAGGAACACATTTCCATCTGTGACACTCACGAAAGTTTAGGTCAACCTTTTTAAAAGCAATTGAATTTCTCTCAGCAAGTTATTTCTCTGACTAGAATATAGAATATAATCCCCCATGTTAAAAGAGCTTCTGTCAAAGTCCTCAAGTGTTACAAGTGAGACAATTATTCACATAGTTGTTTTTCCCCATTTGCATTTTTCCATTTACCAGACATTTTTGACACATTTTATGTTTGCAGGTTTTTGGTCCGTGTCTCATATCTGGAGATATACAACGAGGAAGTGAGGGACTTGCTGGGCAAGGATCAGATGCAGAGGCTCGAGGTTAAAGGAAATGTCTTTTAAGCCAGAACATACAGCTCAGTGATTAATGATAAAACTCTAGAAGGCTCTTTCATAAAGGCCATGACAGATATTTTGCAATACGTGAAAAATAGTAAAAGGTGGCTGTGTATATGAATGTAAATTAATTATTTTGATCTTGGTCACAGTTTTCCCTGATAAAAGTTCTTATTTTTTATTAAAGGTGAAAGAAAGGCCAGATGTTGGTGTGTATATCAAAGATCTATCTGGTTACGTTGTAAACAATGCTGACGACATGGACAGGATTATGACACTGGGACACAAGAACCGTAAGTTGAAAGACTGACGGCATGGAAATGGAATCTAACATGTTAGTTTTTTACTGAGATATTTACCTGTGTAATATGTCGTACAATCACAACTATGGCACCTTACTTGCAAGAAATGGAAATATAGATGGATATTAAATAGGTTTACACAATGTTGCATTATAAACAATATTGGGAGGATTTAGCTGATTTACTTTCATAAATTAAAATTATAATATAATTGAAATATGACAGGACAGGCTTAAAGGTAAGATGGGATTTTGGGCATATAAGTGTTAGACGTTTGGACTCCACTTTACTGATAAGAGTCATGTTGTGACATTTCATTTCTCTGTTATTTCACCATGTTTAGGGTCCGTCGGTGCCACAAACATGAATGAACACAGCTCCCGTTCTCATGCTATCTTCACCATCACCATTGAGTGCAGTGAGAAGGGTGTCGATGGAAACCAGCATGTGCGCATGGGAAAACTTCATCTGGTTGACCTGGCAGTATGTATCTACAGTCAGAAATTTTTCAGCAAAATTAAACTTCCTCCCAGAAAAAAAGATCAGAGTGATCTTATATATGCTTTATTGTCCACAATTCATCCAGCCATGACCAATTAATCAACCACCCCCTTCCCCCTCACAGGGTTCAGAAAGACAGGGAAAGACTGGAGCCACGGGTCAGCGTTTAAAGGAAGCAACAAAGATCAATCTGTCCCTCTCCACACTGGGTAACGTTATCTCTGCTCTGGTGGATGGCAAGAGCACACAC